ATAATAATAATAATAATAATAAATAAAAGCTCTCTTGCTGTTCCCTGATCAGTCAGTTGTTAATTTTGAGATGTTATTTTAAGGAATGGGTGGGAAAAATGTAGTTTATTAAAAGATGCTGGGGACACCGATGTTGCTGCAGAAGCAATAAGGAAAAAAATCTTATTGTACAGATGCAAAAGAAAGGTGTTGAAGATGAGGAACGAGGGCAGGCAAAGATAGAACAGCAGTATAAGGGCTCAGGGAATGTGAGCAAGATGACAGGTTTAGGGGTTTAAGACCTGGAAAGTGAGGAGTATTTGCTCAGTTTTTGTTGTGATACCAGTTGTCCACTAAGGAGCAGTCAACAGGAACTTGCAGCAAGAGCAGATCCTGTTTTGGTTCTCTTTTTTTCCTGTAAGCACCACTTGAGTGAATAGCTAAACAAAGATAATTCCGTTGAAGTTTCAAAGAAAAAAGCTTCTCTCAGCCCTGTCCATAAGGGATTCATATGTGGTTGACCTGTATTTGGAACAGAACCCCCCGTGGTAGCACAAACTTGAAGTCTGACAGGCACGTGTACAAGCTGCTAATTCTCAGTTAAGCAAGGCAGAAAGTGTCACTCATTGCCAGTTAGTAGCTCATTCAAGTGACTGTGTGGATCTTAATACTGCTTATTTAATTTTTAATAGTCTTGGCCCCAAGTGGGCAGTAGAATTAATGCTCATGGGGTGGTTGTTTAGTTCTGTAAATCGACTCTTGCATGAAAAATAGGAATGTAATTGATTAATTTGTTTTGAGCTTGTAAGACACTAGGCACACTGTGTGCATCTTGACTAACCTAAAATTGATAATGGGCTTTGAGTGACTGCAGATGAGCAGAAAACTCTGTAAACACAGAAGGAGATTGTAGATGGCAACAAAAGGCGATTTAATTGTGCACGTATAATTCCTGATTCAACAAGGTACTTACACATGTGGCTAGCCTGAACCTTGCTCCTAGTCTTGCAAAAATCAGTCCAGCTACTTTGTGTGACACTGAATTACAGCCTTTAGGGTTTCTAAAGTTATTTAAGACTAAACAGGGTAAATTCATCTTGGATAACTCTTGATGGGACTGAATTATATCCCTACTTAGCTGAGTGATTCCAGAGTAACTCTGGAAATTGGTGACATTTTCCCTATCGTGATTGTAAGTACAATTGAGCAAGATTTAGATAATATGTTTGTTTAGTATCATCCAGAGTGGTTGTGTTTATAAAACTTTTGTGAGAAACTTCTACGTTAGTCCTTGTTAAATAACAAAGGGTAATTTTCATGAATGCATAGCAAATTCAGAACATCTAGATTTTTTAAAATGTTGCACCACATGTAGTGTGGGGGTTTTTTTGTTTTTTTTTTCTGGATTCAGTTCTCTGTGTTGTATTTTTGTGTCTGTAGGGATGATGGGAAGGCTTAAGATTTCTTTGCTTTCTGGACAGATGCATGGCTGGCTGGATGCATGAGCTGTTGTATTTGAAGTTTACTGACAATATATTTGCTTTTTTCTGTGCTGCAGGTAGGCACCGTAGTGGAGGTTCTTGACAGGCTGTCTCGTGCTGGACCAGTGAAAAGCACTTACCCATTAACCTTTGTTCAGCTAAAGCAGGTGAGGATTCCTTGTTGAATCATAGAATGTGTTGGTTTGGAAGGGACCTTTAAAGGTCACGTGGTCCAACCCCCCTGCAGTAAAGAGGGACATCTTTTACATTTCTTTTACAGCAGTAATTCCTTCAGTAGGTGCTTTGCATTAAGTTTGTCAAATTGATTTGAACAGCCCTCTGTGGTATTATTGTTATGTCCAGTGTCTTATACCTTAGCACAAGTAAATAGTATTATAAGATTGTCCAGGATTTTTGCGTTGGAGACCTTTCCATATTCTGCAGTGCTCCTGTTTTCTACCAGAGGCTTTGCTTTTTCCATGAATGTAGGCACCTGTGCTGTCCAGGCTTTCTCCTTTATGAGAGAGGTGAGAGAATGCAGTGAGAGAAACCTTTGGGAGCAACCTCTTGGAGTTGCTGCAACCCACTACTGAGGTCATTTACCCCACTGATAGCCAAAATGCCTTTCTTCGTGTTTTCTTGTGGCTTCTACCCTATCTTTTGCATTGGTTTCCCTGTCAATTTTGGTGACTTTATCTTCCGTCACAGTCAAAGATCTTTCCCATGCTGCTTCTGAGGGATTCTGTCGCTCTGTTGGGGTTGTGTGGCTCCTTGGTCACTTTTGTGCTGAATTTATCAGACAGGAGCAGGGGTACTAATTGCCTGCAGCTAAAATTAACAACTGAGAGAGGTAATAGCTGTGAGAGCAGAAGACTGGGGAGCATGTTAGTCAAGTAAGGGTTCAAAGCTCAGTTTCTTTTTTGTTTCTTTTTTTTTTTTCTTTCTAAGCCACTAATACAGAGGTGTGAGAGAAGCTGCAGGTGCAATGTTGTGGCTAGATATAATTTCTAGTGGACTTTTCTCTCTTATCCTCTGGCTTTCTCGCTCTTAGTACTCAGCTTTGGAAAACTCCTGAGAGAAGTAGGCAGCCAGCAGAGCTTCCTAGAATACTTTTAATATCTTGTTTTTCCTCCCTGCCTTTTTCTGGGCACCTTGTTGCAAATGTAATGCAAATATAACAATTATAGTGGAATGGAATGGTTTCTTCTTGCTTCTTTCTGGGAGGATTATGTTCTAATTGAAGTCTAGAAGATAAATCTTTTTGGCTTTTTTGTACTTGTTGCTAATTTATATTTCCCTTTGTGATGAGAACAAATCTAGTGTCTATGACTTATGGGGGAGGGGGGAATTTAAGAATGTTTTGGAATACTTTTTGCTCATGTAAATCAGATAGTTTTAGAAAAAGGTAATATTTACTTGATGATTATGTCAGTTTATGGGCACTGAATGATAAGTGCACATTCAGGTTTGTTATACGAACTCAATTATGACATGATTTTCCAGCTAACTTTTAATTGCTTTTTAATGAAGAAATAATACTGTGGGTTTTTTGTTTGGTTTTTTTTAAGCTGAGGAAATGCCTTCATAGTCGAGACTCTTATCTTTTATGTAAAGGTTCTGATGAAACATTTTAAAATATGAAGTCTGTGGAATTTATACTCATTACTTAAAGGTCAAAATGAACTTTAATCTGAAGCTGGTATCTCCAATAGATGCTATCTGAAGTAAATGAAAGTTAACGTTTCAGTCTGAGTGGGTAGACAGGAATGTGGGATATTTCTAATTCATGACCTGAATTGAGGCTACAGAATTATTTGCTTCATTAATTTGTTTGGTTGTTTTTTTTTCCTTTCTGTTCTTAGTATTTTGGGTTTGTACTGTACAGAACTGTGCTTCCGAAAAACTGTACAGAGCCAACGCAACTCTCTTCACATTTGAACGGAGTTCATGATCGTGCCTATGTCTCTGTCGATGGGGTAACTAGACATTGTTTGCTGGTATTTACGGATACAGTCTGCCTTTTGTGTTTTGTTTCCCTCCCCCCTTTTCTCCATCTTAGCAAAACAGCTTTTTTAGATAATCTTACTTAATCAGATGAAGGAAGTAAAGAAGGGTACAGTCGATTCATATTAAATGCTGATATTTCAGAAAAGAGTAATATTATTTCTGAGGAAGATGTAATTGTTTCCACTTTTTTAGATACTTGAATGTTGATATGGAGTCATTACTTGAATGAACAAGAAACAAATCTAGAAGGGTTTGCGTGCAAGTTCATGAAGTAGCTTGAAAATATATTTATGCTTGGTGGCTTTCTACAGTGTTTCCATAGATTTTTTAATTTTATTTTTTTTTAGAAAAGAGTAATATTATTTCTGAGGAAGATGTAATTGTTTCCACTTTTTTAGATACTTGAATGTTGATATGGAGTCATTACTTGAATGAACAAGAAACAAATCTAGAAGGGTTTGCGTGCAAGTTCATGAAGTAGCTTGAAAATATATTTATGTTTCCATAGATTTTTTAATTTATTTTTTTTTTTTCCTTTGGGAAGGTGGAAGATGAAGCCTTGAGCTTGTCTCCTACCTGACTTCTAACCACAAGTTTAAAGAAAAAGAATAAAATTTATTGCACAGGATGTGAACTTTACTTTTCTTCCCTTAAGCAGAGTTTTGTTCTGATTAATAAGAATTAATATCGATTCACAGACTTTGATAGCCTATTTTTAAATTAATCTTTGATCTGTGCTGACTTTCATCACCTTTGTGTCCAGGTCAAGCTCTTCCTGCCTTATGTCGTGGGAATGGGAATAAATAAAACTATATATGGATGTGAGCTTAACTGGAAGATGAAGCTCCCTTTAGTCACAAATATTGCCAAAATATTTTCAGTTGCTAAATTAAACTTGAGAAATTGCTTTTTGGGAATTGGGCACATCCGAAAACACTAGGATTCTAGTAGCTGAGTTGGTTAAAATCAGCTGAGGAGGGAGAGAGATGATGTCAGTTAGACAAATGCTGCCAAGTAGCACATGTAGCTGATGTAAAATGTGAATAATGACTTCGCAGCTTTTTGTGTGTGCGCTTACAGGCAAGAGGAGGAAAGGAGAATAGTTTTGGGAGGTGTTTTTATTTTTTACTTTCTTTTCGTTTTTTTTCCTCTGTCCTCTTTGTTTTCTTCACGCAGGCTGAAGAGACAAATAACAGGGTTTTGTTCGTTTTCAGTCGTTGTTTCCTCCTCTTGATGTAATTTGTACAGGTTCCTCAAGGTGTTCTTGAGAGGGACAAATCACTTGTGATAAATATAACTGGGAAGGCTGGAGCAAATCTAGACATCTTGGTAGAGAATATGGGCCGAGTCAACTTTGGTAGATATAATAATGACTTTAAGGTGAGTGAAATCAACTGAGTTCACTGGGTTGTGGTGCCTTTCCCTCTTTTCCACAAAGAAGAAAGTAGTGAGTTAGAGCAGAAAGATCAGGATTACAGAGCTGTAATTTTACGTCAAAATAAAACTACTTGCTAGTTCTCATTTGCCTTTTTCCAGTCACCAGAATCAATGTGGAATTAAAAACTGACAGACAGACTTTTAATTTCTTTTTTACTGTTCACTTATGTTGTCAGCCAAAGTGTCACCCACAAGACTTTCAAGTTGAGTTGAGCCTATAGCTAACATTTTAAAATGTGCCAAGCAGTTTGGAGAAACTCAAAAAATGGGTTGGAAATTGATCTAGAACAGGACAGGGAGAAGACGGGGTGTGGGGTCCTCCACAAACTGCAGTGTAGATATCTGCTTCTTCCCATAGAATCCTTCCCTCACACTTTTATTTATACTGATTTTTGAAAACTGGGAATATTTATGCCTTAGTATTTTGGATGTATTGTGCTTTCAAAAAAATCACAAGGTAGGAACCTCTTCCCCTGAAGTTAAGTCTTGCATTTTTAAGCAAATACTGTAGTTTTTCTGGATTTTGTTTTGTTCGCTTTTCTCACTTTCTTTTGAGCTTGAAATGGAACTAGCTTTTGGGAAGGAATCTTAAAAGGACTTTGGTTTTAAAACATCCTGCTGATTTAAGTCTTGTTGAAGGACGTGAACAAAGAGTGTGGTTTCTGTTTTCTTGGTAATTTTTCACACGCTTGGAAAAATTATATCCATATCTGGACTGTTGAATATGCGTTCTTATACAGCTCAAAGTAGGAATGCTTAGTAGCATTTGAAAAAATCATACAGTTCATGGCGCCTAAAGATGGGCTTAGATAGCTTGGGCTAAAGTCATGCTGCATTACTTCAATTAATTACTAGACAGAACATTTTGCTGCTGAACTCTGTGCAAGTGTTTTATTTTGATATAAGAAAAATAAGTTCCTTTTTGGTGAAGTGACCATCAAGGTCAAGGAAGAGAAAACCAATTGGCACCTGTACTGATGATGAGGAGAAGGCTCGTGAAGTCAGGGCAATGCTTTTTAGACCTCAGAACAGACACACGATGTCGTATCAGCCCTCCAAGGCCATAGAAAATGTGGTTTTGCTTGTTCCTGTTTGACATGTGGTGTTAGCAACAAAACCAAGTTGTGCTGAAAAACAGCTTTTGTGCAGGGCATCTTCAAGCAATTATGTGGCTGTAGCACTGTCTGTTTTAAAATCAACTCCTCACAGTTCACTGAAACTTTAGAAATTATTGTTATAACACAATTAGGGTGTGTGCTGGGATAACTTAATGTTCTTTTCTTCCTAAAGCATAAAAACCTCACCTTGTTTTTGCAAGTACCCTAGTGAGCTGCACGCATAGTGCCAGAGAAATGAAACAGGATTTTGTGGGCTTGAATCTGACTGTCAGCTTCAAGTATTTCACTGAATCAAGGTGACAGCAAGGCTTGATTTTTGTGATACTCTGTTATCTCTAGAAGATTTGTGGGAAATAAAGACTTGCTTTCTCTGCTATTGTGCAGGCTGTTGTCTTGGTTTAGTGACTCAGTGTTACCAAATCTCTTGATGGTATCTCAGGCTTATATTTAGTGTTTTTTCTACTTTTTTTTAAGCCCTGGATTTTGGAATCGTGTTAAAGCAAAATAGAAATTTTCGCAGTTACTGGAAAAAAGTTTTTTGGTTTTTTTTTTTTAAACCAAACAAAAACAAGGAAAAAAAAACTCCAAAACCCTTGGATATCAGTGAAAGCACAAAACTTTGAAGAGGAATAGGTGTTTTGCAGAGAATAAATGAAATCCTTTATTCTTCAGCAAAGATTATACCTTAAAGACCAGATGCTTGCTGCTTTTCATAACATAGGTTGGCAGCTGTTGCAAGTAGTTTGATTCAGTTTTTATTCCTGACTGATTTGTAGTTGCAGCCAAATAACTTCAATAACATGAAGCTAATTATGTGGTTTTGGTTTGGTTTTTTGTTTTTGTTGGTTTTTTTTGTCCTTCTAGGGTCTAGTTTCAAATTTAACTCTTGATCAAGATACACTCATTGAATGGGAAATCTATCCTCTAGACATAGATGGAGCAGTGAACCGTGACATTAATGGCAACCTCGATCAACCAACGAGATCTCCTGGTGATCCACAGAGTTATGAAGCACCTACTTTTTACACTGGTAAACTTTCAATTCCTGAAGGGATTCCAGACTTGCCTCAAGACACATATATCAACTTTCCTGGCTGGACAAAGGTACAACTTTTTGCCCTAAAAATCTCGAAGTCCGCTCAGAAAGCTATGAAACCTCTGTGGGTAATTCCACCTCTTTTGGTTGGGTAGAAGTTGATTGTAGTGGTGTGCTCTTTCAAATACATTCAGACAACTAGGAAATGGATTCATTTAGGTAAATCTGGAGATAAACCATTAAGGGAAACATTCAAAAGATGCATGGTGTTGGTCTAGGAAGTGAAGCATCACAAACTGCCTAGTTCAACAGGGAGGAAGATGAGCTGTCAGGCTATTTAGAGAAACAGATTAGGAGGAGTTGCTGGTTTTCCATCTTACAGCGTTGTAGTGAGTAAAGCACTTCCCGATACGCAGAAGAGTGTGATTAGTTGCAAGCTCTTAGCGTTGCTGGTGCTGAGCTTGGATGAGGAAGTCTGACCTAGTCCCTCGTTCTGTATATGTGCCTGTCTTACGCAGTCACTGAATAAAATCCAAACCCAGCTCTTTGCATAGAACTGGAATGCAAGACTCTTGCCATAAGTTCTGTGACCCTGGGAAACATAAGTTGTCTTCAGGAAGTGAGATGACAATAGCTGCCTGTTTCATGTCTTTGAAATGGCAAATGAGTCCAAGAATTCTTACATATCGGTGGAAATCTTTTCCTCCTATCTAGAGAAACCTCTGTTTTACATAGTCTGTATACTCGCTCAAGCAGTCAGGGTGAAGAGATCCTGGATGAGCTATAAGTAGGGCTATTGATCCTTCAAGTATTATATGGGTTGGACCAAAGTTTTTTAAAAAGGTACTCAAGAGGAATAAGATTGAGGTGATACTGGGTGTGGAAACTGAGACTTCCAGATAACTGTTATCAGTGAACCTTTAAGGCAGAGGGCCTTGAGGGTGTAAATTCTGCTTGATTCCTACTGTATCTGGGCCTTAATTCCTTGAGTGGCACCTAAGTTGCCCATGGCAAGGCGTGGAGAAGGATCCTTAACAGGGGTTGAAACTCACCTGTTTGAGTAGTTGGAAAACCATGGAAACAACACTTAGTGAGAAAACATACAGCTCTTTTGATGGTCTTGCCTTGGAACATGGAGTCAAGGAAAATAGCATGCTGGATATCTTGGAAGGAAGCATGCAGCTTTAATAGTCATCATCTACATTGTAGCTTGCTTGCTTTCAGTGGTTTTTATTTTTCTATTAATAAAACTTGCTCCACCCTCACTTGAGGAAGCACAGTGCCCTTAAGCATACGTGTCCCTGCTATATGGTTAGGTTTACCACACTTCTATTATTTTTCTTCAACAGAAAAGAGGATTTGGAGTCAGGACTGTTGTTGATTTCAGTCCTAGGTTGTAGTCACTGACCCTGCTAAAGGAAATCTTGTTACTGCAGACAGAGTTTATTTTGTGTAGGGCATATTTAGTAGCAGTATGTATAGTGGCATGAGTTGCTGGTTAAAATTCCTGAGTCTGTGGTCTTTAGAAGCTACAGTATTAGTAAGGATGGTTTGAAATTGAGAAATTAACTTTATAGCTTTACTGGAAAAATGAGTTATGTCCTGTGACTGATTAAGATCAGAAACAGAGACTTGTCTGATCATATCTGCTGCATTTGAACTGTAACACAGTGAATTTCTACAGTAAACTCCTACTTCCCACAGGTTTACAGTCACTCTCTGTAGTAGGTGTAGGCTACTGTCTCCTGGGTACACTCACCAATTCATCTTCTATAGGGGGAGGTTGCATTAATGTCATATTTTCTTCTAGAACTACTACAGAAGCAAAACAGTGAGCTTGAATATTTAGCTCTTCTCTTGCCTTTTAATACAGCAAAAGCAAGCCACAAAGCAAGATGAACTTGATTTAAAAAAAATGTTTGAGGTCGAAATTTATTAGCACCTTGGTAGAACTGCAAGATAGCATCTTATATCACGGAAGTGAATACAGAGCTGAAATAACTCACCTGCATTTACAAATGTGTGAACTCCTTGTAAAATTTCTCTTGAGAGTTTCATAAAATTTTAGTGAATACTTGGAAAAGAAAACACAAACACTTCCGAAACAGCTTGAATAATGATACTCGTTGTGTTACAATTGTGCTTCTGTAAATCTTTGAAAAGTGTTATTCTGATTTATACTCTCCCAGACAATTTTAGAAACGGCCAAGTGCTGTAAAAGCCCTTAATTTCCACTGATTCAGATAATTTTATTATTTTTATCCGTGTACATCAGTGTTACGAGTTACTTTGTTTTTCCTCTATATTCTGATTAGAGAAGTTCAAAGCAAGAGGGGAAGGCACAGGTGCAGTTATCTGTTTCCATCCCCTTTCTTGTCCACTGAGCGTGTCTGACGTATGGTGAAAGGACGCTTAGGAGAAGTAAAAGCAAATTATTTGTCCAAAGCAGCTGCATGTCCTCCCGTCTGGCTGGCTTAATGAAGCAAGGTTCAGCTCAACTCAGTAGGAGTCCGGTTACAGTTTAGTAAAACTTTCTGCAACGTGACAGTTTATAGACTTTTGGGAAAATCTGCATTTGTGTTACTTAAATTTGTCTATTTTGCAGTGCCTAAAGGACTGGTTTGACTTTATTCTTTTATATTTTTCTCAATTTTGTTTTATCTTTTTGAACTTAAATTATTTATAATGTTTAAAAAATAATTTGAACTAGAGGTTCAGGCTACCTCCACTGCAGAAAAGTAATTGCCACCACAATTGCCTTAAGTTAATGCTAGCAGACTCCCCAAAGATTTTAATCGTTGTAGGTAACTACAACAAAATATAACACCCTCTTGCAATGTATTCTCACAAGTTCGTTTGTTCACTAAGCCATCACAAGTATAATAACGAAAGATGGAAAAAATTCAGCTACTGTGTGAAGAGTGTTATGCTTAAAGCTATTTCATTGTTTGATCTCTGTCAGGTTATTAAAATGTCGTTATTTTTCCTCTCTTTCTTACCAGGGGCAAATTTGGATCAATGGCTTTAATCTTGGTCGCTACTGGCCAGCCCGTGGTCCTCAGATGACCCTTTTTGTTCCAAGGAATATACTTGTTTCATCGATGCCAAACAACGTAACAGTGTTGGAGCTGGAGCATTCTCCTTGCAGCACCCAGGCATGCGAGATAGAGTTTGTAGACAAACCAAACATCAACGCCACCACACAGCATGAAAGTTATGCCCCACAACTCTTCGTTAGAGACATACAGCTGAACTATCTATAATTTCAGTTTTTTCTTATCTTCTCCCCACATCGTTTCCCCTTCCCTCCAACCTTACTTCCCTTTATTAAAGACTCCCTGTTAATCAGTAAGTGGTTTAGCTGAGGCAACTTCTTAAATTTTTCAGAGACGTTTTTTTCCCCAAAATCTGCCAGGGTTAACTATTGAAATTCTCTTTAAAAAAAAAAAATAAAAGCTGTAGCTTTACATTTTGCCTTGGACTGTGAAATAGAACTCAACTGGAAAATAACTTCCACATCAGTCTAATAAAAATATAGTCCTTGTAGGCTGCTTACGTTGTCGGAACCCTCTTAAGCTTTTAATTTTTTTATTTTTTCTTTTTTAAGTATGTTTTGCAACTGGAGAGGAGCCTACAAAAGGCACGTGCAGTCTTGCTAGTGGTGTTGGTTTTACTCATGTGGACTGGTAGAGCAGACCTACCAATAGACTTGTTAGTATCAGTATCATTTTACTCTGAACAAGCTCACTGCCAACACTGAACAGACCTTGGGGTTTGGGGTTTTTTTTGTTTGCTTGGTTTTTTGTTTGTTTGTTTGGGTTTTTTGTTTTTTAGGGTGTGTTTGTTTTTCTCCTCAATACAAGTGACCTCAGAAAAAAATTCAGTTGGTTTCTTCTGGAAGCAGTGAGAACTGTGGAAAAGAGCACTCAAATGCAGGCTGGTCCAAACGGTCTGCATCGGTCCCCTCTTGGACAGCCATTTACTGATTTCTGTCTGCTGTATCTGAAGACTTTAAGTAAATTGATAAGTGCAAAGTCATATGTAAAATGTAGGCTGTTTTGTTTGGATGATGGCATCTTTTTGTTTGGACCATGGCATCTGATTAACCTGCCTGCAGAATGTAGTCTTTAAAATTACCGATTTTTCCTTTTATGGATCCTTTTTGTGTCTCCTTTTTTTTGGTGGCATTTTTTTCTGTTGGGCCTGGAATACCTCTTTTTCATAGGCCAGCATCTTCCAAGTAGAGAAGATGGTAAGTTAAATAATTTTAATCGTCTTTCAGTTGCTAATTCACATCTTATGTTTTGTTCCAGTAAACTTGTGATCTTTGCGAGTACCTGATATCTGCAAAGATGCACAACCTCTCTCAGTAAAGTTGACTTTGTACAGCAGACAGAATCTGCTTTTTATTCTTATGATTTTGATGTCAATCATGCAAACTCCTTGGTGAGATTGAAACAACAAAAGATTAAGGTGATGGAATCGAGTGTTTTCATAATCTGTATTTTCTTCCTTTGTTTTTTTTTTGTCTGGCACTATTAAAATGATTCTTTAAAGATTAAATCCTTCCTGTGTCTTTGAGAGGGGAAAAAGAGGAGGAGGAGGAAGAATTATGAAGTGTTACAGTATTAAGAGAGAAATGTGATTGTAAAGTCTCTTCAGACAAGGAGTTATTTTTGTTGGTGTCTCGTTTGTTTTATTTGTTGTGAAAATGTGTGAAAAGCAAAGCAAAGTAGCTGTGATGGGCTCTGTGGACGCCAGAGGTGCCGCCCATTTCTGAGATGGCCAGTGCTAAAACATGATTATTTCTTCTCAGGTCATGAGGGTTGATACTGTCACCAGAGGAGAGTGTGAAAAGGAGCACCACTTGCTTCAGTATCTACACGTCTGCTATGTGTTTGATGTGTTTGGGCTTTGAAACCAGACACATGTGGTTTACCTGAGCCAGAGGGCTTCTACTCTTAAATTCTCGCCTTGGATGCAAAGTCTAATTGGCTCGGGGCTGCATCTTAACTCCAAGAATGAAGCATGTCTACTACTGAAGTGTCCACTCTGATCCCAGAGCTGTTTGCTTTTTTGGTTTTTTTTTGTTGTTGTTGGGTTTTTTTGCACCATCCCTGTGCAGACCCTGAAACATGCTCTGCAAGCAGTTTATTATAAAGTATTAATTACCTCAGAGCCAGGCCTTGAAAGTAAGGAAGGGAACAGAATTAGTTTTGTAACAGTTGTGGGTTTTGTGGCTTGAAGTGTGCAGAATGACACAACTATTTAGACATTATTCCTATAACAGTTCAGTGCTTTAACAGCCAGGAGTATTTTTATTTTTCTGGCAGTTAGCGATGTGAGGGGAGTGGAACTCTTGGCTCTCATTCCAACTTCATTTTCGTTCACATTGGACTTGTGAAAACGTAGTGCAATCCATGAGACTTCACTTTTTGCAATAACTGTAATGTTACAGGCAGGAGAGCTTTGTGTTGAGAATTACAAACATGCATCTAGTTAGGTTAACAAGAATATGGAAAAACAGGAAATGAAATCAGGATAAAACCTTCTGACTGAGGGCAAAGGTGGAGGAGAAGAGGAGAAGAGGAGGCAGCTGGCTCACCTGGACCCAGTGGTCGAGATGCCAGTGGGTTTAATTTCAGTTTGGTTTTGAAGGGTGCTTGTAGTGTAGCTGTGTGATCTGGTTGTCGCTTTCCCTGCACACATCTGACACGAGATACGTCTTTTGTGATTTGAGACTGTTTCGTGCCCTCTTGAGTTATCTTCTTGTTTCCCTGATGGACTGATGGGCAGAGCAATGTAGAGAAGACTCAGCAAGGTTGTGAAAGGACAGACAGGTCCTGAATGACCTGGTCCAGGGGCTGCAGCAGCTGCTTGGTTTTTTTTTTATTTTTGTAAATTCTTTTAATTTTTTGATGGAAATGACTGAGTTGCAAGAAAGCTGTCTTGCAGGCTGAGGCTTAAAAGTGTGATAGCTGACCTTGAGGTCCTATTTTCTTCCTTTGGTGACAAAAGGAGCTGGAAGACTGTGTGACAAAAGGAGCTGGGAGCTACAGAAGAATGATGTCTGCTTTAACGGATCTCCTTCAATGAGAAGACAAAACAGGATAGGAAGAGATGATCTTGGGATTTGATGCAGAGGGCTGGGTGGAAAAAGTGTTGAAAAAAGATGTCACGGGGATCTCTGTCACACTTTTGCTCAATAGAGTGTGTAATCCGTTTTCAGAAGATGGTATTTTCTGTGGCTTGTTATGGTATCATGGGTGAGAGTAGTGAACCAGAATCCGCAGCTTTGGGGAAGGTCTTGAAAGTGTGTGTTATCTACAAGAGGTTTCTCAGATCCAGTGCTTGCTTCAGGGGCTTTCAATAGGGTATACTGGTTTTGTGATCATGGAATTGTGAATGTACAATTCCTGCTTTGGGCGCCTGTCTCTCAGGAGCCAAGTATATACAGGACCCCAAAGCCAGGGTTTTAGGAAGGTCTCACTTTTAGCTCTGTAGTGTTGTAATGGGAAGCGGAGCCTTGCTTATGAAACTCCCCAGCGTGTGTTCACAGCAGACTTGGTGCATGCGTTGTGATAAGATCACTGTCTTGCACTTTGGTCATGTGCTTGCCGCTACATGACTGTCATTTGGCCTTTTAAAATTTCTAGGTAGATGTGAGGCAGGAGGGAGAAGACTGCCTAACAGAATTGGGAATTGACTTTGAAACTTCCACAGAAAGAGCTTTTGTGGTATGGATCTGTTGAATCTAGTAGAAAAATGCAGCTGGTATCTATGGTTTGAAAGGATTTTTCTGCAAAGTTTCCTTTGTAAGCGTATGCCCTATTTTTATTATTTAAATGTCTTGCTGGTTCTTGCTCTAGGGGAGTTTTATATGTAGAGAAACGGAAAGAATTTCCTTTAGTGGGTTGCCTGAAGTTTATGAAGGGCAGGTTCTGTTTAACAAACCTGATCTCGTCCTATGACTGGGTTACCTGCTTGCTGGATGAGGAAGGGCTGTGGATGTTGTCTAACTTGACTTTAGTAAGGCATTTGACGCTGTTGCCCACAGGATTCTCCTAGAGAAACTGACTGCTCTTGGCTTGGATGGGCATACGCTTCGCTGGGTGAAAAACTGGTTAGACGGCTGAGTCCAAAGAGTTGTGGTCAATGGAGTTAAATCCAGTTGGCAGCCGGTCATGACTGGTGTCCCCCAGGGCTCAGTGCTGGGGCTGCTCCTGTTTAACATCTTCATCAGTGATTTGGAGGAGGGGATGGAGTGCACCCTCAGTAAGTTTGCAGATGACGCCAAGCTGGGTGGAAGTGTTGATCTGCTTGAGGGTAGGGAGGCTTTCCAGAGGGGTGTAGATAGGCTGGGCCAAGGCCAACATCATGAAATTCA